AGTATTTTGCCCTAGCTGGAATTTCAGAACAATCGTCACAAAGGAGCCTTGCATAGAAGACAGGGCAGGACTCAAACTTTAATGTCAATATAACAAGACTGGTAGTGCCCAAAGCTTTGCTGGTCCCTGGCCAAGGAGCTCGAGATCGGGGGGGGGGGGCAAATAATGAAAGCAGCAGTGCAACAGCACAGCGCTATTTTCATCATTTTGACAAAATCAGATCCTATGGATCTCTACAAAGGCAATGTTTGGCTGAACACTAGGAGAAATCTCTCTCTTCCCCCCGCCCAAACCATTTCAACAATGGAAATCTTTGGAAATGTGGAGATGTTTTCTCCTACTTGAGGCAGCAGAGCCTAGATAGCTATGGATTTCCTGCACCAAGTAGTGGGTTAGACTAGGCCGTGTCCAGCTGGGTTCATGCGACACAATAAATTCAACACACAGGTTAACAAAACACAATTCCTGTATTTACCTAACATATTATTCCAAAAGAAATAAATAAGAAAAACTGATTTGACATCGTAACCTGATTCTCATAACATGCTGAACCTCAAACCACCTAACCCTGTTTTAGCTTAGTGTAGCTGTGTGAACTTGTCCTATGATTCTGTAATATCTGCAGTGGCTGCCCACTTAATGATTTAATCATACTAACTTGGACTTTTAGAAGCCCTGAATGGCTTAGCTCTTGATTTGTCAGGAAGCACTTCTTCCCAACTTTAGTCCCAAATGATACATGAGGTGAGAAATGGGAGATCTACAGCCCTCTATGTGTTCCTGAACTTCAACTTCCAGCTTCTCCAATCAGCATGGTCCATAGTGAAGGACGCTGGTAATTGTAGTTCAGCAATACAAGGGAGGTCGCAGGTTTCCCAACTGTGATTTATGCTTGGCAAATGGGGCCCTGCTTCCCCTCCTGTCCCATGCCCTTAGGCCAAGATCTGCTGAATGTCCAGCCTCCTGTTGTTCTACCAAATTTCATACACAGGAGACAGTTGAAGACCACTCCATAGAAAAACTCTGTTCATAGCTTTCTGGAGCCCACCCTAAAAAGAAAGAAAAAAACTTATGTTCTATGTACTCTGTTTTTTAAAATGTTGATTGTTGACACTCAATAGACAGAAGCAGTCTTGCTCAGAAAGCCTCATCACAGCAGTGCTCCTAATATTTGTACTAATACGTTGGTATATAAAATTTCAGGTGAGTTCTGAAATGCAGTCAAAAGAAGCAGAGGAGGAAAAAGAACGGCTTCAGGAAGAAATAAAAGAAAAAGAACGCCTCAAATCTTCACAAGCAGCTGCTGGCAAAGGTGGAAAGGAAGGGAAAGGGAAAGGCGGAAAGGATGCAAAAGATGGGAAAGAAGCGAAAGGTGGGAAAGAGGTCAAAGACAAGGAAAGCAAAGATAAGAAAGGAAAAAAGAAAGGTAAACCAAGTTTAGTGACAGATTGTGGTGGTCCTACACAGAGCAGGACCCGCAAACGGATATTAGAAGAATAAGAAGCATACCAGTATAAAGCTGCTCCATACCTTCCAGATGTAATGGAAATGAAACTCCCAGAATTCTTAGGTTGTAGTCCCAAGGAACCTTTAGAGGTGCCAGGTTGAGGAGGACTGGTCTTCTGCCTTTGCGATTACAGAAGAGGCTCTTGCAACAGGCCAGTCCACCTCTGAGCACTGCCCAAGATGATCTGGCCAGGATCTGGACACTCTTGCCTAATCTCACTTTCCCCCTCCCCAATCTTGAGGTGCCATTGCAAGAAGAGGTGCTGTACTTGGGTTATCTAGAGAGGGCTCACCGGCTCAATGCCAGGACCCAAAAGAATAAATACCCCCAGGAAAAGGCCAGGAAGAGCTCCCCTTGGAAGTAGGGTGGGAGACTGTCACAGGAGCTGTTGCTGCACGTGCAAAGGCCACCCACAACATTCTGACAGTATTCCAGCTTTGGGGGTTCACACCTGGCTTAAACACATATAGCTGGATCATTACTACACTGCACTCCCATTCTGCCGTGACAAGCTAAGAACTAGCTTATCCATGCACTCTGAGCGTGGCCCAACAGTTTATTCATGGGGAGAACATTTTTACTTTCAGATTTGTTCATGAGATCACTTTTTTCTCCAGGTACCCATTCTCCATCTACGACTGAAGCAATAGCAGTTCCTTTATCCCCAGAAGAATTAAAGAAGCAAGAATTGAAGCTTAAAATGAAACAGGAATATTTTGCTGCACTGGAGCACGAAGGTATAATTTCTGCAAAAAGAACGGTTAAATATCTGCCATTTTAGGGCTGCAAAAAGTTAAAGGGAAATAAAACCCCAACATTTGTTCCGGACATTGAATATATTTGCTTGAACTTGTTGTAGATGTTATGCTTAGCCTTTTTTAAGTTCAGGTATTGGTTGACTTGGCACTATGGTTTAGTTTATCCATAATTTGTTGAACAACCACAATTGTTCATGTATTATATTAGGGCTTACCATGTTTGTGAACCTAGCCATTGTTTATTACTGTAATTGTCTTAAGAATGGAAACAAAATAAGCCCAAGTTGTTCTTTGCTGGACTCAGTGGAAAAAACATTGAGAAACATTACATTGCAAGCCAAAAAGGCTGGAGTAGCAGATAAAATTTATGTTTAACTGTGATATAAATCATGGTTAGCTCAAACCATAGTTTCAGGCCATTTTTTATTAAATATATGGTTAACTTAAGCCATTACCAAACCATATTTAAGCATTTACATCATTACAAGATCCTTCTTTGCAGCAATCCAACGACGGAGATATACAGGATTAATTACTCTCTTTCCTAAATAATACTTAATCTAATTATTGTTAGACCTTCATAATAGATGAAAGTATTTGGATTTATACTAACTATAAGCCAATTTTTAAACAGCGGAAGCTACAAAATCTCATCTTGAGCTGTTAAAAGTTAAAGGGTTAGCCTTTCTGGAGGATCTACAATCAAAGGCAGAAGTGACATACAGGAACATGGAAAAATGGCTTGGAGAGAGATTTCTGGCTGAAATGGCTAGGTAATAAATTGTTAATAAAGCAATAATATTATGTTACAATAGAGGAAATCAGGTAAAAGTCACTAAGCTTAAGCAACAGGCTGAATAAATAAGATGCAGAAATACTGCATTATTTGTAATACAGACAAAGCTACAGTTGTATTTCTATAATTCTGGCAAGAGCAAATTGTGAGTAATAGATTAATTCTTGGATGCATATGTTTGTATGTAGTTAAATTTTGAGCTTCTGATTGTATGAATTACGGTTTAAGAAGTAGTACTTATTGAGAGAAATGAAATATATAGGTGTTTTATTTCTGAATTGGTGTGGATGGGTTTTGAATGAAGCTATACAACTGGTTAGCACTCTTACGTTGATTCATTAGGGTTTCCATAAAGGGAAGGAAGTGTCAGTTTTTACCTATCCTTCTTTCTGTATGAAGTCCCAAACAAAACAAAAGGAAAACAAGATTTTGGTCTCTCTGCTTCTTTCACATTTTAGCATATTTGAAAGTAGTTTGTATGTGGGCTGGTCCGTAGGCTGAAATGGAATCTGGAGATAGTTATTAAGGTGGGCAATCCCAACATTTTTCCATCCCTAATGTCCCTGGAAATGAGAAGGTATCATGACTTTGTGTCACTCCCATTGGATCTTTCTCTAAGTAATGTGAATACATTGCTACAAATGTTTTGTAAACATAGTAAAAAATGCATTCCAATTTCATAGGAAGCCAAATGACATAATGAAAATTGGGGGATTCAATTCAACAAGAGATCTATTTTAGTTTTCCAGTATGGGCATTTCAGTAGCCGTTGGCTCCACTTATTCCACAGAGCATATTAGAGATTTTAATAGCATGCCTGGGGTTTGAAGAATCACACTGATTCTTCTAGGGACAAATCTAGCACCTGGTTTTAATCAGTATGAAATGATTAATTGCCAACAGAACTATAATTTTAGGATTTTGCCACATTGTTTTTCATTTTTTACAGTGTGGATAAATTAATTGACGTTGCCCGCAATCATATTGAAACTTCCTCCAGAATTCAGTTTGAATTAGCCCTGGAAGGGACAGATTTCTACATTAATGGTGATATAAAAGTATTTGCAGATCCTCCCCTTCCACCTCGTCCCCCATCTGTGGAGACTGCTACAAATGGTACGCTAACTATTTCACAGCTTAGTACTCTTCATAAGCAGTTTCTACAGGTGGCACCTAAAGGTAAGAAAATACTTTTTCCTTTATATTTTAAAAACATATTAGTGACTGTTCAAGGTTTAAAGTGACGGAAATGTTATATTCGTGCCCATTGTGATGGTATTTCCTCCAGTAGCTCATACCAGTATTCAAGGGTGTTTCTACAAAGGTTAAGAATAGGATAAAATGCTGATAAGTTGTTTTATATAAAACATTTCGGTCTTTCTGTACATTAACAGTGCAAGCCTACCTTTCTCCTGTGCAGTTGCCTGATGTTGTTTCCCAACAAATTTTTAAAAAGTAGGTTCCTCAATGAAATGTTATTTTGACTTAACCATACTTTTTATATTCAAACTTCAGATGCATACATCCTTTTTCCTGTTCATCTGAATGGTGTGTCTTTGTACGTTTTTTTACTAAAATATATATAGACAATAGGTAACTCTGTTCAATAATCTGTTATGTCTCTGGTTAGACTGTCTTCAAATGTTTTATACTTCTACTATCTTAATATTGAAGCCATATCACGTCATACAATATCATTCCACTCTGTCAATCCATGCATTTCTTTCAAAATAAATGATCTGTTTAATTCAAGATTCTGAAAAGTTATAATACATTTGCTAAGATTATTGTAAATAGGCATTTTTCTAAAACTAACACAAATGCACAAATATGTACTGAATAATACAAAAAGGAAAGGTTTTCATGAACTCCACATGACTATTGTTAACTTCTAATATCGATTCAATCAATAGGTAAAAGCTTGTACAGGTAGTCCTTGCTTACTGACTGTCTAATTTAGCAACCATCCATAATTACAACAGTGTTAAAAAACAGCTTTGCGACCAATCCTTCCATTTATGACCATTGCGGCATCCCACAGTCACGTGATCGCCATTCATGCGCTTCGCAACTGGGACACATTTACAACTGTTGCGGTGTCCTGTGCTCACATGATTGCCATTTGTGTGCTTCCTAACTGGCTTGCAATAAGCAGAGTTAATGGAGATTGCAGAAGTAAAATTGTAAGCCACAGTCATGTGATGTTTTGCTTAACAACCCCAGTGATTTGCTTAGCAACTGAATGGGAAGTGATATTGTAAGCCTGTCACAGTCACATGATTTTATGCTTGGCAGCCGTGGAGCTTAGCAATGGAGTTGCTGGTCCCAATTGTGGTTGCAAAGTGAGGACTACCTGAATGCTTGAATGTTCCTCCTTATAAAACTATTCTTGCTAGTGATGGGGAAGAAATTTATTGGTCTGGTGTTTTTTATGTTGTTGTTTTAGGCAAACATACCTGGTTGAACTTCCTAAATAGGTACTTGAACAGTAACACAATTTTCTGAACTTTTCTGAATAGTATGATATAGGCTACAACACCCCACCCCCCAGCAAATGAATACAAAAATGTCTGATTAGGAAACAGTGCATAGAAAATGCTTACATTTTCATACGGACTTTTGAAGAACCAGTATGGAAGTAAAACAGGACGAAATTAAGGTTACAAAAATGACAAAAATGAGTCAAATGAAACTTGACACATTCATTCATCTTTTGTGCAGAGAATTATTATATGTAGTTAGATACTGTTTGGACAGCAGTGTCCAGGGAAGGGACAAAATGATGCAAGCAGCGTTGTGTGGTACAAGCCCTGCCCCATTTGTATGTGCCTCGCATGTACAAAAGGTGTATTGCTTGCATTGCAATGGCACAATGCTGCTTTTGTCATTTTGATGAAAGGAGGAAGCTTTTGCAGATACCTATCTGTTTAGAGTCAATTGGCAGGACATAATTTTCTTCTATGATAGCTTCATTAAAAACAAGTTGTTCCCCTACAATATCTGAATTAAAAACAAGATTTCTGTTAATATTTCCTACTTGAAGTATTCTATGTGTTTGCTGACTATGTGTTTCAGAAGTATATAGGTCTTTGCTGTATATAGGAAGTCAGCAAGAAAGAAGAAACTGTAGAAGGAAATTTGTGTGCCATATATCTAATAGTATTTTGACTCAGAAAACTTGATTAATAATTTATGGATTCAGAGTGCTCATAGCCACAAAAGGAAGATTTAATCACATAGAGAAGCTAACCTAGCAACATGGAAAGCACCCAGTTTTACTTTAAGAGGACAGTGGCTTTATAACAGAATTCTTTCTACCAGAAAGAAAATAGCATATAAGTGGAACATTTGTCTATTTTAATAAATATTTTTTCCCAGGACTTTTCCATTGACTAGGAAATACTTTTGTTCTCTTAAGAACAATCTCAAAAACAATGTTCTAATTTTTGTTTTCTCATTCTTCTGCTCGGCCCTCAAATTATTTAATAGTGTGATATTAACCCCAAATTTAATTGGAAGTGGATTAATTTCTTGGCATCTGACAGGCTCCATCTGGATTTGCATCAGCAAATATTAGTCAAAACGTTGGGGTCAGCAGGCACCATCTTTGGATATCACAGTATTTTTTGTCTTAGCATTTTTCCACTTCTGCCTAGAAATGCCAAGGATTGACTCTGCATAACAGAATGTGAGAGTGACCTTGGAAGATGGGGCGAAGAGATGCTGCCTAGGGAACGATCAGATAAAAGGGGGAGGAGCCCACAACTGAGTAACGGGCAGAGAAAGAAACTTAGATAGGACCCGCCCTAACTGATCAGGCAGTAGATAGGGACAGCGGGAGATTTATACTTTCAGACTTGCAAGATTTTGTTAATGTAGCCTAACAATAAAGTAGAAGTAGCTCATATGGTCATGTTTCCTGTCTGAGACCTTCTGTATGGAAAACATACGCTCTTCCTCAACACATTTCCTAGTATTCCAGGTTTGGAGGGGCACATATCCAATTGTTCCACCCTTCTGGTGTATGTTTTATTTCAATTTTACAGTTGCAGCCACAAATTCAAACTTTATTCCCAGAACCAGGACTGCTCACTATCTGCTGTGTGTAGAAACTCTAGAGCTGGGTCAAATGTTTAAAAAAATTCAAACTTTATTCCCAGAACCAGGACTGCTCACTATCTGCTGTGTGTAGAAACTCTAGAGCTGGGTCAAATGTTTAAAAAAATTCAAACTTTATTCCCAGAACCAGGACTGCTCACTATCTGCTGTGTGTAGAAACTCTAGAGCTGGGTCAAATGTTTAAAAAAGGGGGGGTTGTCATCACTTAATGAATGAATGGGAGAGGAGAAGTGAAAACATCTAAAAGACCATGGTGATGTGTAGAGCAGTTTACTACTGGTTTCATGTCATCTCAGAGATTGGTCAAGACCTTTGCTATTGTAACTTTAAAAAAAATCCCTTTCCTATTAATGGTGCTATAATGTCACATTATGTCCTTCTGCAGAACTTCTATAGCATTTTGGTAAGTGAAGCCAACGCATACTGGCTCCCCCACAGAACACTTTCTAAAATGCCTTTGAATAATAAGAAGTTGGAGAGGACTTTTTAAAAATAAATTTTAAAATATCAGAAAAGAAGAAAACATAGCATCCCTGCTAAATCAAACGAGGGGGCCAGGGTATCCTTAGGGTACCATAAAAAAAGTCAAGATGGCAGCCATAATGGTCCAATCAAAACATCTTGACCTTTTTGACCATACCCTACAGGCACCTGTGGAGGTTCCTAATTAGTCCAGGATTCTGTGGCCAACCAGGTCCATCTAGGAAACTCACAAGGAGATTGCAAGAGAAAGAGCAGGGATAGAAATATTTTCGGGTTAGCAGCACTCTCAAAATAGCTGCCATTGGAGACTTGCCTATTTACAAAAAGAGGCTGCTGCTTTGCTATGTGACATAAACCCTGTTTATTCCTTTCTCTTAAAAGAAACCTTTTTTTAAGGTTTTATGGACATCAGTCTTAGAGCATATTGGGACTATGGAGCTCCACAACTGCCTGCCCGCAAATAGTTAAACAACAATCTTCTTTCCTACCAAGAATTCAGTAGTAAACTACCTTCTGTTTTTGCAGGACAAGAATATTTTCAGGAAATAATAAGGGAGTTTATTTCTCCCCTATTAGTAGAAGCACAACAGGCTCTTCATATTTTGTGCTAAGCTACAATGGGGTTTGTTCAGTTTTAGCTATTAAGAACCTCATGTTATATCTTATTCAGTATACCATGGTTTTAAAACCCTGGCTTAGTATTATGTGTGAATTCAACTAAGCATTCTTATAGTTGATTTCTGACTGTAGAATATTTCTAAGACTTAATGGAAGCTACAGCAACACAATATGGTAAGTTTGTTTGGATCTGTTCCCAACAACCTCTTCTTAAAAAAAAAGAAAAGAAAGGAAATAATGTTGAGTTCTTACGGTTGTAAATAAGGAATAAAACTATGTCAGCCAGACCTGCTGAAATCTAAAAAGTCAGCAATGCTGCTGAATGTAATTTCTGATTACATTAACTTCTAAAAATAACCTTTTTGATGAACATTTCGATGAACATTTTGTATTTTGCATCATTCTGTGGAAAGACAAAATTCAGCTTCACATATTCTGTATAGATATGTAACATAGTTAATGCAGAATTTAGCACATATCTTTGCACTAAATTTGGGTTATGAAAGAAGAAAAATTTGGAGTTTTCAAATGGCTCACATTTCCTATTTTGTAACAAATACTTAAACTTCTATAGTTTGGAATAAATAATAGTTCTAGCTCAAAATAAAAGTTATAATATCAAAATTGTGTTAAAACATTATAATGTCATTATAATAAACATTATAAAATATTTATAGCCATAGCTGCACTGAAGCAATTTAGAAGCAAGAATGTAACTCCAGGCAAACAAAAATATTCAAAGAAGAGTCATCAGTTTCCAAACATATGGCTGCTGAAGTACACATGGTTAAAATATGACAGTGACAGAGGCACAATGTACTGTGCTCTGTGTCGGAAACATAATGTAGACTTAGGGGAAAAGACACACAATTTTTGTTCTGGAACTGATGATTTTATTCTTGAATTAGTTGATGACCATCATAGCAGTGAAGCTCATGCGTGGGCTTCCTGTATGGAGGCAGCTAGTAGTTCTACCCCAGACACAGATACCACTCAGCAAATGCTAAAGAACATGAGTAAAACAACCTTGGGACGAATAGAAAACCTCTTTAGAACTTGCCATGCCATTGCCAAAACTGGGCGCCCCTTCACAGACCTGGACTGGATAAGTAAACTGGATGATATGAAGGGGGTGGACATCGGTTCCATATTTAGAAATGACAAGGCGGCAAGAATCTTTATTCATTTTATCGCTGAAGTGGAAAGAAGAGCCTTGAAAGAGAAATTAGAAAAATGCAAGTTCTTCTCGCTCATTAGCGATGGCATTACGGACAATGCCACAACAGAAGCAGCCCTTGTATATATACGTTTTGCACATCAAGGGAAAGTTCACTGTCAGATTGTTGGAATTCAGTCCGTAGACATGTATGATGCTTCAGCAGTGAAAAATGCCATTCTGAAAACCTTAGAATCCAATCTGCAAGTCAATTTGCCAACCCATGACTGGGCAAGAAAACTGGTTGGCTTTGGCAGTGATGGTGGAGACATTATGATAGGACAAAACGGGGTCGCTAAACTATTGAAGGACATCCAGCCGTGTGTTCAGAGTTTTCATTGTCTTGTGCACCGTCTTGAAATTGGCTACAAGGTAGTACTGAAGAGCACTCCACTGTTCAATGTACTTACGGATCTCTTGAAAAACTTATACTATTTTTATCATGATTTTCCAATGAATAAGAGCAACCTTAAGCTAATTTGTGAAGCTCATAAAATGAAACTGGTGGTTCCTTCTCGAATCGGTGGCTCTCAATGGTTTCTTCGCTTACAGACATCTCTTCAGATCCTTCTTAAAGGTTACCCAGCAATTGTCCTACACCTGAGTAAGGTAAATGCTTTTTAAAACTTATAAGATTTGAATAACAAATAGCTGAAAAACTAGAGGTTTTTTGTCAGTGTTTTAACACATTGTTTTTCACATTGAGTTCCAGACAGCAGAAGAATCAGGCTCCTCAAATCAACAGAAAGCCAAAGATCTCTTGAAGTTTCTTCTGAAAACAGACATAGTTAAATTTTCTCACTTCTTGTTAGATGTCATTAATGTCCTCAACATTCTGTCTCGTGTTGCCCACGATCCAAATTCTTCCATTGCAGACGTGTTCGCTACAATCCAGTCCACATTGGAGATTCTCCAAATGTATCAAAAAAGGTTGTATATCAGCAATTACTGCATATAATTGTGTCTATCTGAATTGAAAAGAGGGTTTATTGCTTAAATATCATTTTTTTCCTGCTCAGATCAGGGCCACGAGAACGTCTGGTAGAAACAATCACATATTTTCATGGTTACCAGCTTGTGGGAGATGGGAGTATTTCAGCAATCCGGTTAGAATTATTAAGCAGTCTCTTGGACCAACTGCGTGATTGTTTTTGTGATGCTAGTGAAGATGTTTTGATAGCAAGCGCCATTGGAAGCTTTAAGCTGTGGCCAGACAAAATCAAACAAGGTATAGAAAGCACCCCTCCAGTGGCAAATAAATTATTCCTTTCTGAAAGATACAGACTGTTTTTATTAATGCGACTGTTTTTATAGAATTCGGTGAGATGGAAGTAGCTCTCTTGATTAAACATTATGAGCCAGTCCTGGAATGGGCCAATGTGAAAGTTGATGAAATTGAAACTGAATGGAATATGCTAAAAGCAGAGCTATATAATAGGTAATAAGCATGCTGACTTAAGTCCAAGTTTGTTTTATTGCTACATTAGCAAAAGAAGCACGTTTAGTAATAAACATTATCTTTTCTAGGTATCAAAATATCCGGAGCTTAACATGGGATTTGGTGAACAGAGATTTTTTTCATAAATATCCAAACGTCTTGACACTTATAGATCTCGTCTTGACACTGCCGGCAAGTTCCAGCGAAGCAGCACGAGGCTTTGGTCAAATGAAGCTCACAATGATGAGGCTGCGTTCAAAACTAACGTTCGAAAGCATGACTGATCTCATGGTCATTCAGTTGAATTCTCCCGAGATAAAAAAATTTGATCCCCAGAAAGCTGTTCAATTGTGGAATATTTCTTGGCAAAGGAACAGAAAGCTACAAGCTAATCAGTGGGTTCCCAATGGGATCCCAGTAAGATTATCTCTCCATGAGAACTCAGATTCTTCATCTGACTCCGAATGGGAAAGGGAAAGTTCATTTGGAAGTGACTAGATCCACAACATTCTCTCCGTCTCAACTTCATATGAAAACATTGTTTTAAAAAATAACTGTTGAGTAATCATTACCTCCCTCCCCCTCCAAAATACCTGAGCAGCAATTAAAAGCAAAAGCAGGAGCAGCTATATTGGCACATATTCCCTTCTGCCCTTTTGCTGGCCATTGTGTAGGATTTAACATATTTTTTAATGTTTACATCTCAGACACACAACATTTGCTGAATGCATTAGCACCAGCTTTAACCTTTGCCACTTCATGAAGCACACAACTTTCTAAAGCTGCTAACAGAACCCAGTTTTCATTGGACCACTTCAGATTTCCTTTGTTAGATAGCTTTTTCAAAAAAAAAAAGTGAAGCCAGTCCTAGAACAAAACTAGCTATAAGGCTGGAATCGCACTATGTGAGACAATTATGAGACCATCTCTACTTTTAGATAAGTATAGGGGACCATATCATTAAGCATAGTGGATCAGATTTCGGGAATCATGAAATTGCATCAAATTGTTGATTACTAAGTATATTGTTGGCATTTTTACTGGCAGGGTGAGAGATCGTCAAATCCTGACTTTCTCACCCCGCCCACCCCAATTTTGTGTCTGTCTCCATCATATTGTTATTTCATGATTCTTAAGACCCAGTGGCTTCAGCTATGGGAATAGTTTTGAACCTTTCACCTCCAAATTATATATTTTTCACCATATATAATGACAACTTTTGATTAATTATAAAACAAACATCTATTTACCCACACAAACATACAGAGAGAGAGAAACACATGCTGAACATCTGTACATAGAAGATATGTCACAAATAACAAGTTTAAGAGATTGGGATAGGAAAAGAAATCTATCAATAGCGGGTGCTTGTTAAGGTAAGAACATTCCAGGGAACAATATATATAACAGTTAAAAGCATTATAAGCATTATAAGATAACTCTGGAGATTTTTAAAAATAAATTGTTAATCAAATGAAGTTTTAAGCATCTGTATAACAACTAGAAATAAAATAGTCTGCAGAAATACTAGAGAAAAATGGATGTGGGAATATGAACATCTCCAGTAATATTTATCTTATTGATTAAACTTTTATCCTTCTGACTACCAACATCTCTTGACTATTTAGTGTAAAATCTCTCAGCAGTTGACTAAGTTTTTTCATGAAGTTAAAACATGCATGTAGATTTTGGAGAAATGAAATAAATATGACTTTGGAAGAGTTGAATAGATTTCTTTAGAAAAGTTGAATAGTTTTCATATTGAAAAGCTAGATATGGCCAGAGTCTTTTTGTAGAGCAGGGCTAGAAAATACGTATTCCTCCAACTGCTCAAATTATCAAGCCGGGTAAGGCTGATAGGAGCTAGAATCCATTATCTTTAGAGATAGTATTTTCAAACACAGTGTTGTAAAATACAGAAATGCACTGTTGGAATTTCCAAACATTTCACCTCTAACAAGATACTGAAGAATGGAAAGAAATTTCTTTGAAATATGTTACTCTGTATTCCAAAAAATATTCTATTCTTGTTATGGCTCAAATGGAGAAATAATAATTATTATTCTTACTAGCTTTCATTCTTCTGGAAATGAAATGTCTTGCAATATAAGTTCCACTCAGGGCATATTAATGTCCTTTACACTTTGCATCATACCTTGATAACTTGATCTCCCAAAATGGAAGACTCACTCTTTTTTCTTAGCCAATTGGTTCATTCATTTGAATGCTCTACATGGATTTGAACTGTCTGAACAGGTGTCAGTTCTGAGAGGGAACACCTTTTTATAAATGGAGGATGTAATGTTTTAGCTGCAAATGATTCTCAAAACTTTTTAAAAGCATCACAAAATAATAAAGGGAAAGAAGAAATGTGAATAGAAATGTAATGCAGTGGATATTAGAGAAAGCTGGAAAAGTCCAATACAGAATGAATTATGTTTGTCATAAAAACTTGAGGAAACTGTCTTTCTCTCTCTCTCCCATACACACCATGGATATGTCCTGTGCTCCCTGGATAAAAGCTTAAATGCACCTGGCTTCAGAAGGTACCACCGTATTTGCATAACTTCCCATTTCCTAATGCTTTCAAATGTGGCTGTTGTAACTGTAGAAGTAGAACCTTGCAACCATCAAGTGCATGCATAGTTAACTAACGGGCTTATGGAAAGAGAGCTTGGTAGAAGTAGGCATGGCACAAAAGTTCATTGCGCTTCCAATAGCATCAGCAGAGGGAGAAATTCTTCTTTCCCTGGCTGGGGTAAGAATCAGAGTCATTTGCAAGTGAAAAGGCTTGTAACTCCAGCTAAATAAATAAATAAATATAAACCTACATCATAGCTTGCATGGGTCTCCTTGGGTCTCTGCTTCCTGTGCTCTGCCACCGAGGGCATTCTCTTTGGAATAGGGAGTTGATTCAGATATATGTTTTGCTTTGGAACCGACACATTCGCTAATCAAAGGTTTATGGCAAACATTCTCAGTCTTTGTGAAGAATCTGTGTCATGTTTGTTCATTTATTTTGATGCGTGATATTAATGGTAGCCGGCCAGTTATAATTTCTGCTTCTTGTAAAAATGTTCGTCCTTTGGGAATCATTTGAAATTTGAAATATTCATTATTACCACATAAATCTCTTCTTCCTGAGGATCCATTCATAGGTGAGTTATTTTATTTGTACGTTGAGTAGCTCCATGCAGAATTGAGTATATATTCACATATTTTACAGTCACAAATCTTTTGAAAAACTGGTGGCATGAGAAGCTGAAGGAACATGTTAATGTGATGTTAAGGGCCCTTCTGTTTGATATGCAGGTTCTTTTTCAATTTAATTAGTACTAGTTGTAGGGGAGGGAGACCAACAGTTATTGGGATGGAAGGAAAATTTTAATTTTATCTTTGCTTCCTGTGGTCCTGACAAAAATAGTTCATCTGCAAATGGCATTGGGAACAAATCTGCTATTAGAAACAATGAAGAATCTTCTCCTGATACAAACAAATTTCAAAGGAAGGACTTTTGTCAAGACAGCAATAGGGAAGAATAGGAGTAAATTCACCTCTTTGTGCCTGCTGCAATCACAGTAGTTGTTTTACCCACTGCTGATGTTATTTGCATTGAAAAAAATAGGAAGTAAAAGCAAACTGCAGCTAATTTCCCCTCTGTTGGAGGTTGAGGCATTCTGTCCATGCATGCAAGCATTCCTGACAGCAGGAATGTAACCTGCACAAGGATTAGTGAACCAGGTTTTATAAGTGAAACAGAAAAGAGATTTAATTATGGGAAAGATACTATAGGGATGGACAAAGCCTAGCACCTAGTTAACTATGTCCTACTAGGAGGAGAGTTAAAGAATCATGCACTCTGTGCTTGTGTACCTGGAAAAAAGGCATAAGGAAGCAACCTTTGATTAGCAGTCTTTCAGAGAAAGGGCAGACAGATAGGGAAAGAAGGACACTGAGTAAATCTGTAACTTGCTGGCCACACCCTACTATCCCCTTGGGGTCAGTAGGTTATTAGATACTAAAGAATCAGTCCCACTGGATTTGGACTTCCAACAATATTTCAATTTGTATGTTGTGGAGACCACAGGTAACATGAAGGAGACATATTTTCCAGCCTTAGTACATTTATACCAACATGCTTGAATTTTTCCCAAACTAGTAATTTTGATGTAATAACTGAGGAAAGTAGCTAGTGTAAAATTAACAAAATACATTTGAGCCATTAAGGATTTCTTTTCATTACTGTAATATATAGTTATTTAATGATCTGCTGGTTAATCTGGGAGAAAATATCAGAAAGATCTTTCATGTATGTAAGTGGAAGCCTTAATAGTCTACGTGCCTTCTTCTGAACTTCTAGACTAGGGTGCCTCAGTCCACAAGCTACGTACTTGGTCTTGTCATGTGCTGGATAGTAACACTTTGAGTGATCTTCTTGTTAGCAAGCAATAAAACTTGGTGCTCGTGAAGGTCCTGGTGGATCAGTGAAGGTAGATGGTGAAGTGGCTGCACTGAGCTCATGAGTCTTAAGCTGTAGACCTATGTCCCAAATTGTAGAAAGTAAGGAAGATGACCTTGACGGAGTTATACATTGCCAGGGCAACAAAGGATGAAACATATTTTAAGTCCACAACAGACATAATATTTGGAAGCAGCATAGACGAACACCTCCCTAATTCACTGGACTATAAGAAGGAGGAGGAGTTACAAAACAGACTTGCAAGTTTATTTTATTATAGCCAATCTCAATAAAAGTAGTTTTAATCTTCTTGTGGAGTTGATTTTTTGGTCTGGTCTACCCAGTGGGGCTGACACAAATTTAATCAGCTTCTGAAAAGCTGTTCACTTGCAACATTGAAAAGAATAAGATTGGATACCATATTGATTACAAATACCCTCCTTTGTAATCAAGATGAATACATTTTAATTTGACTAAGCTGGCTTAAACTGCCTTTATAGAAAATGCTTGGCTTGTGCATCTGTCCTTAGTTTATGAAAGCTATGCTGCATTGGGGGTGATGTCTCTTGAAAAAAATTTTTTTTATTTAATCATTTAAATGATTTACTTGCAACATCCTTGCTTACTCTGCACATTTACTGTAGTTCTTCTAGACATTGTAGGAGGAAAGCCATGTAGTCTCCGGTAGCCAAAACTCAGAAGGAATTTGGTAGTAACATTTTGGGCTAATAAGTTGTAGCTCATGAAAGCTTATGTTTTTAAACTTTGTAAGTCCCAAAAGGTACTACCAGACTGCTTCTGATTTTGTAGTTCTTATAAAGATCCACATTTAATGAATGTTCTCTTTTCAAATGTACATTCTTGAAACAATACCATGCGTACATTTGGTTAGGTCTGCTGAACTAAGAAGCTGTGCACCACACTTTTCCTTCAAGAGCTCTGGGCAGTATACATGGTTTCGCTCTTTCCTGCTCCCTCATTTTACCCTCATAACAGACCTGAGAATTTGATTAGCTGAGAGAGCTAACATCTGAAATCTACAGTGTCATCTTGACTTTGTGTACATACAGTATACCTATATATTCACCATTTCTGTGTCGATGCCCTGCATAGTTCCATACCAGCTTCTGTGCTCTTCCCAGTCAAATTGACTTGTGGTAAATGTGTTCATGCAAATGGAGACTTGGAGAATAATCTTGTGCTCCCTGGATGAGTGGGCTAAGGGAAATGGGATCAATCCCACAGATCTGGTGGAAGCTGCCATTACTTCTCTGCCATCAGGACGTTGGTGTTGATAGAGGTGGATCAAGAGATTCAGTCCATTCAGTCCAAAGTCCTCTTGTTCCCCCAACATGCTCTCAAGAAGGGGCTAAAATAATGCCAGAATTGATGTTAGTATGAGAAAATTTGCAAGGAGAAGTAAAAGACCATCCATGGTTGATATTTAAAAGTAACGAAAACTATTACGTTGTGGCCATGCAACTCAGGCTCAGCTTTGGGTTTGATAATTTGGTCATATATTCTCACTCCCATAGGATTTGTCTAGCCTTTGTTTATCAATATACCAAATATCTTCAGGGAATTATATGCATGCTGGAAACTTTCCAGTTTAGGAGTGACAATGTGGTTGGCATACTCTCTTGCCAATAAAGCATGCATAAAATTTACCTTTGGGCATGAATATAAAGTTATAGTTACTGATTATGGATTGCTGTGATGGATCAAATGTTTAAAAAATGAGAAGATGGGGGAGATTTCTTTAACGTACAGGCAGTCCTAGGGTTACGATGGCAATTGGGACCGGAATTTCAGTTGCTAAGTAATGCGGTTGTAAAGCGTGATGTCACATGACCGTGTCACTTAATAACAGCAATTCTGGCAGTCCCAGTTGCTGTTCTAACTCGAGCATCATGCAGGCCATAAAGTGAGGACGTCCCGTGATCTCAGCTTCAGACTTCCTGCCAGCTTCCCCATTGACTGCTTGTGGGAAGCTGGCAGAGAAGGTCGGAAATTGCGATCACATGACCACAGGGATGTTGTGATGGTTGGAACTCTGAGGACCAGTCATAAGTACCATTCGTTCAGCACTATCGTAACTTTGAATGGTTGCTGAACGAATGGCTGTAACCTGAGGACTACCTGTATGAAAGCAGCATCTTAAAATGTATTTATTTATTTGTCAGATTTCTAGGCCACCCAACTTCAGAATGACTCTGGGTAGCGTCACAAAGTTAAACAACATTATATGAAACAAACAGCAGTCATCTAAAGGAACAACATAATGTATTTTGTTATATACACACCAACTAAAAGCAGCCTGCCAAAAACTTCCTAACTGAAGGCCTGGGGGGAAAATACTCCCTTGAAGGCAGAAAGCTGGTGGTCATAAGGATATCCAGGGGGAGGCAATGACAGAGAAGGCCTGCTCCTTGGCTCCCACCGGGAGACATAGTTTATTTGATGGAACCCAAAGCAAGCCGAACAAGACAGGCAGATGCTAAGAGAGACAGGCAGTCTCTCAATTACCTAGGCCCTATGCCATGTATGGCTTTATAGGTGATAACCAGCATCTTGAATTGCACTCAGAAGCCAATTGGCAACCAGTGCTGCTCATGTAGCAGGGGTGTTATTTGGGCATAGCAAGGCTTCAGTAGAAGAGAATATATGTAGCTCAGGGTTAAACTGTGGAGTCCTTGGTGCTCTGAGCTTGATTGCTTGCTTGCAGACATTTTATTACCTGACTAGGTAACATCTTCAGTGCTAATGGTGGCAGTGCAAACCCCACACTCACTAGCACTGATGATGTTACCTAGTCGGGTAATTAAATGTCTGCAAGCAAACAGCCAAGCTCAGAGAGCACCAAGGACTCCATAGCAAGACTTGCCCATCACTGGTCACGTGGCTACATTATGGATCAACTGTAGCTTCCAAGTTGTCTTCAGGGACAGCTGCATGTACAGCATGTTGTAATAGCTACCTGCAAGGGGACCAAGACATGAGTGATCATGAGGAGATCCTCTCGGTCCAGGAACAGGTGCACCTGGTGCACAACTTGAACCTATGCAAAGCCCTTCCTGACCACAACTGCTATCTGTTTCTCAAGCAGGAGCTGAGAGTCCAGGAAGAAACCCCAGATTTCATTCCAATCCTGGGCAGGGCAGTGCAACCCTATTCAGGACCAAGGGTGGATAGTGTGTGCAACTGTGGGGACCGAGCACCTGCAGACTCACTAGGGTTGAACGTGAAGCTGTTCCTTCCCATCTAGACCTTAACAGTCTCCAGGCACTGGGGCAAAACCTTGACAGCATTAGTTGGTCAACCAAGGAACAAGTTGTACACTGAGTATTATTAGTGTACCAATGACACCTGACCCCAAACTGATGGAGGACTTCTCCCAGTGGATGTATGTAGATGTTAAACAGGAAGGGTGAGAGCACTGAACTCTTAGGCAGCCCACAAACCATAGGTTGTTGGCTTGACATTTCCCTTCCTATCAGCACCAACTGGAACTGAGAAAAGAGGAGAATTACTGTAACAATGTGCTGTTCACTCCCACTCCCTGCAGTCAGTCCAGTAGGATACTATAGTTGATGATATCAAAATAGGTCCACATAATCCATTTCATTCAGTGTCCTGTGTAGCTGCAACCCAACAGCTTCTTAACCTTCCCCCAAAAGGAAATGATGAAAACTTTTTTAAAAAATGGTCAAAGTATACAAGCGTGTTCTTTTTTTCAACTCTACTTTGGAAACCAGTTATGTTGCAGTTGTGATCACATTTACTAGGGGAGTAGACTTCATCAGCCACTATTCTAAATGAAGAGAAACAGGATGCATCTTTCGTTTCTTCTTGGATCACAGCTGATTGATAGCAACACGCCGCTTACATGTACATGCATTTGGTTTAAAGAAATTGAAACATAACATTGTGGAGCTATAAAAGTAAATTACAGTCTCTGTGTATATAATTAGAAAAATAGACAGAGAAATATGCAATGTACTTATTAGGAAGTGAAATGTAATTGATCTTTAACTTTTTTCTATTAATTCCACTGTGACCCTTCTTCTCTTTTTTTCTTGTACTTTGGCTAGGTTTAATACCAAGTAAAACTTTCATAGATACTGTGTTTGACTTGATCACTTTGAACCTTGGCTCCAATTTGCTTCCTGATGCTTGGATGCATCTCACCATGAATGATGTGAGTATCCATCAGGGGCATTTGTGGGAGGAAGGACTAAAAAGTCAAGGTGGAGGCCATCATTGCACAGTGGTGGCGGCTATCCCGACCACCACTGTGAACACCCCTGGTGTGTGTGATGCTGTTTTAGTTTTGACTTGAACATCTTGCTGTGTGGTTGAATTAAAAAACTCAGGTGTTAATGGTATTAGAAAGATAGGATATATTGTAGAATGGGGATCATGCTAGCAATTATTTATAGAGTGAGTTTGTTTACTAATGTATATAAAATGTGCTTAATAAGTAAAATCAGTTTGAATATTCCTGGAAGCCAACTTCCTGGATTTGTTGCCTATTTTGGACAACCCATGTATTGTCGAAGGCTTTCACGGCCGGCATACAAAGGCTGGTGTGGGTCTTCCGGGCTGTGTGGCTGTGTACTGGAAGTTTTGTTTCCTAACGTTTCGCCAGCATCTGTGACCAGCATCTTCAGAGTGCAGG